TAATTTTCTATATTCTTTTATAGTTCTCGTAATTTAGCTATTTCGACTAAGAGATAATCGAGAGACTTAATTTTGAGCTCTTTATTTATTACTTCTTTATTTATTTTAGATATTAAGCTATTAACTAAGTAGTCTTAATACTCTTCGTCTTCTATAGTATCTCTATTATCGATTATAGTATAAATTATTACTAAAATATAAGTATAATTTTAGTTTATAAAATCGTTCGATCTATTAATTATATTAGCTATATTCACTTTAAACTTAAAATTCGAATTATTATTATTATTATTATTATTTCGAAATCGATTAAATATCTTTTCGTTATAAAGAATTCAGTAGCTATATAGTTAATATCTCTTCTTACTCTTATTTAATAGTAATAAGTACTTTAAATACTTAGATATATTATCTAATCTCTTATAATAAATACTATTTAGATTATTTAACGAGGGATTAAAGTTATAATTATTATTTTTATCGTTATTTCCACCTCGGCCTTATTCTAAAGTATTATTCTTATATTCTAAATTATTATTATCTTTAAAGATCTTCTTATTCTTCTATTTCTTATAATATTTCTTTATAATAACGATTATAACTTATTTCTTATTATCTCGCTTAAAGAAATAATCTTCTTCGTAAAGAAGTATAATAATTTTATTAAAGTCTAGTATATTATTAAGTTATAAGATAAGACGATATACGAAGTCCTTATACTTTTTATTTAAATTATTTAATAATAGAGTAATAAGAATTCATTTATCGATTAGAGCTTTTATACGCTTAAGATTCTTAGATTTTATATATATATTAGTAATATAAGTTTTAATCGAGTTATTGCTATTAATTATAGTAATATTCTATAGTTTCTATAACTTAATAAAGCGAAAAATAAATTCGAAGTTCATATAGTCGATTTAAAGTCTAATTTACCTTATTATAGCTACCTTCTTATCTTCTATTACTTCGACTAGTTTATTCTTATATATCGAGTAGATAAGTTTTAATACTTAATTATTAAGATTTTTTTAAATCTTTATATTAATATTATATCTTAAAACCTGCTAATTAATAAATCTCGATATAATAGTTCTTATATAGTAGGTTTTATTAGCTAATATATTTATAATAATAACTTTCTCTAATAGATCGTTTAAAAATAGTATTAATTCTTATTTTATTATATTTTATAGGCCGTAATACTTTAAGATACTCTTTATCTTCTTTAATTAAGATTAATAGTTTTTCTATTCTTTAAACTTTAAATTTTTTTAAATCTAAGTTAATATAGTTATATATATATTAAACGCCTATATAATTATCTTATATAACTATTTATAAAAGAAAGAATAAAAGAGTAGATAGAAAATATATAATAAGAATATAGAAATATTCGTTTAACTTTTATAATATTAAATTATTAAATAGATAAGTATTTCTAATTAATAATATAGAGATTACGATAGCGAAATTTCGAGCTTATAATCTATTAAAAATAGTATATACTTAATAATCTTAAATTATAAAGTATAGTTATTTATTATTATATTTTATAAAGAAGTATATAGAAAGGATGGAGGTAACTACCTATCTATGGTGTGAAGCCACGCTAAGGCTATTTACTATCATAAGAAGTAAACCAAAAACCCCCCCCCTCCAAACCAAAAAAAAACCCCCCCCCAAAAAATTTTCCCTCCCCCCCCCCCCCCCCCCACCCCAAATTTTTTTTCTCTTATTTTTTCCCTCTCCCCACTCCCCATATATTTTAAATAACACCCCCCCCCCCCACCCCAACCAAAAAAAATAATAAATTAAACTACCCTAAAACAAAATTAAAATAAAAATTTTTAAAAATTTTATTTAAAAAAAAAAAGAAAAAAAAAAAAAAAAAATCCACTTTCTTCCTAAAAAAAAAAAAAAAAAAAAAAAAAAAAAAAAAAAAATTTTAAAAACTACCAAAAACCACCCAAAAACCCCCCCCCCCCCCCGGAAAAAAAAAAAAAAAAAAAAAAAAAAAAAAAAAAAAAAAAAAAAAAAAAAAAACAAACCCCCCCCCCCCCCCCCTATAAAAAAAAAAAAAATTTTTTTTTTTTTTTTTTGAAAAAAAAAAAAAAATTATTTGCTTGCTTCCCTTTCTTTTTTTAACAATCCAAACTTTAAAAAAAATAAAAAAATAAAAAAAAATAAAAAAAAAAAAAAAATATTTATTTTTTAAAACAAAAAAAAAAAAAAAAAAAAAAAAAAAAAAAAAAAAAAAAAAAGAAAAAAAGGGGGAAAAAAAAAAAAAAAGAAAGCAAATCGGAAAAGGCAGCAGAGAAGCCACGGAATACTCGTATGTTCGCTACCGCTAGAGACGAAGGAATATTCTCTCTTTTCACCTTCAGCTTCTCTATCGACACGGCTATTCATTAGACACGTAATCGAGAAGCATGCTTGCATTAGAGATTGAAGCTGAAAGGTCTATATGTGACTTTGACAGTCTTTCCATTATTGCTTTCTAAGCTACCACTACCATTGCCTCAGTTATAAGGCTCCCAGTGCCAACTCCTCATAACGGTAATATGCAGAAACAATCCCTGACAACTTGCCTCTCGGATGTCTTGAGCTATAGATATGGGTACTCACCCAAGTACGAAGACTCAACTCCACTCTCGACACCAGCATCGCTGCACCAGTCAATGAACTTCAATTCCAACTCATCCTGCGGGCCGCTGCGCATCAACGCATCTCGACACTCTCGGGCGATCCTCCTCATGTCCTCATCCTTCTCCGGCCCCACGGTGAGGTTGATCCGAGCCTTGCCGAAATTGCGGAGTAGTTTGTTGAAGGATCAACTCGAGGCCTGTGAACGGTGGGATGAGTGAATCGCCTTTGAGTACCTCGGTGAGGTGCACGTCGAAAGACAAGCATAGGGATGACAGAGGTCTATGATCTGGTGTGTCAAACTTTCAGGGTTCGCCAAAGAAGAAGTCGCCGTCCAATGGGGACTTCTTCTTTGGGTAGGCACCAGAAGCCTCCTCCCTTAACAGCCAGATATGTTCCATTCTTATACTGTAAACTAAAACTTTGCCATCAGACCTATACTACACCACCAAAAAGATATCACCGCCACCGCCACCGCCACCGCCATCGACCACGAGATTGCTTGTGGATATTGTGCAATGATAACAGCTCGTGCAGAACCTCTCTTCTCCAGCTCCATCTAACACTTTCTCGCTGCATCGATGAGATGTCTTCGTAGCCTTATCCTGGTAGAATGCTATCACCCTCAAAGGAAAGTGAGTCGTAGGTCAGTCAGGTCCATCTCATGTCGGAGCCCCTGATGCATCATCGAATCCTGAAGCTTTTCCGCAACTGCCACCATTTCCGGATCATTTCCTGCTCCTGGGGTCAAGTTGATCTTGGCCCTGCCAACATGTGCGAGCAATTTCAATGGCTCCAATGCTTCTTCAAGCCCGTTGATGCGCGGCAGACCTCTGAGTTCGCGTCCTCGTGCTGAACAGGATCTGAAATTGCGACCGGCCGCTCGCTCCCAAGGCTCAGCATCTAGGTCGTAGAAATCCCTTCTCTGGACATCACTCCAAAATTCCATCTCTTCTTCCGTACGCTGGAATGGTCCATCGAGCACTTCCCCTCCGTATATGTGTTGAGGTGGGTTCGGCCTGCTGCCGTCTGCCATGCGATCTCGGTTCCTGAGTACAGGTTTGGGTCGATACTCTCGATCATACAAATCCACACGAACGTTCCTAAGACTGGGCTTGTTGCATAGAACCAAACAGAAGCCGAGCAGCGTATCGTAGAGGATTGGTTCCTCTTTCTTGAACCGTGTTGCCCAGAATTCAATCTGGACTTGCTTTGCCATGTGGAACGGAAAATGGCGCAACTCGCTGGGCACCGGGATGTTCACCCACTTGTAGCACCATTCTGAAGAGCTGAGTAGACCCTTTAGAAAGGTAAGTCCTCTAGCGGTTATCACTGCACGGAAGGCGCGGTTGTACGTGATCGCAGTACCCTCAATATACAGCTGGTGACTGACTCGGAGGATAGCAGTGTGGCACTTTTCACCATCGTCCCGATATTGTACTATGGATGCAATGCGGTCGGTAATGACTTTGTCGGCCCCCATCCAAATATCATAACCATTGACAGGGTTGAAGCTGTCGTAGTAGCCGTCGAAGACTTTGATCTCGGAAAGATTGGGCAGGAGGTGCTCTAGGATCTTGATGCGGACCTCGAGCGGTAGTCCCATCAGAAAGGACTTCAAGCCTGGTTCCATGATCGATAGGAGAAAGCCGGTTCTTTTGGCCTTGGAGATGGTCTGAATCTTGACGGATGATACTTTCTGGGCGTGTCGACTGTGGTGCGATGAGAGTTCAAAAGGTTGAAGGACGGTAGCACCAGCTTTACCCAAGGTTACAATGGTAAGCGTGGCGGATGGGGGTTAGTGGCTGATGGGAGCCGATTGGTCGGAGAAGTGGCAATTTCCTGAAAGGAGACGTGTCGGAAGACATACAATAAGTGTTAAAGACTGCTCGCTATTGAAGATGATAAGTTAGGCAGGCAGGCAAGCAAGCCAGCAAGTAAGCAAGGCGAAGGAGGGTAAATTAATGGCCACACTTACAAATGGAACAGATTTGCACCTTAGAGGGTGGGTTACCAGAGCTTCGCCTCGTTTGGAGTTGCCTCGATCTAATCTACCGTGAATAACACCAAAGTTTTATAGAGAAAATGTACTGCAAGGGCCGGTCATTGAAGGCCGGGATGGGAAAATCCTTGTCGCCCTTTTTCTCTAATCTAAAGGTGCCACTTGTCCAATCTGTTTCCTTCCGTCTATCCAAGCTGCAGAAATTGGGCCTCTATGTATCTCACGAGGACATTTCCAGATGCAGAGACCAAGCCTGGCATCTCACATTCTTTTCGTGCCATTCATTCATGCAACAAGTACGATTCAAATTCTTCCTCCACCAAAGCTCGCCTCGTTCTCCACTTGCCGCACCTCAGTCAAAAGCCCTCCCTTCTTTGATCGTGCGATTGTTGACCATCTGTCCAACATGGGTCGGCCAGAAATTCTGCCCTTTGCGACGGATAGCAACCCAAGCCTTGATGAATCTGAGAGCTTGTTCGGCTTGGACTGTGGACTTTGCACTAATCACGTCTGTGAGAAGCTCACGGTATTCTTCAAATGTGTTGAAGTATAGCTGGCCGGCAAACAGATGCAGCTCGTGCCGAAGTCTCTGCGTCAGGCTTTGCCAGCCGACCACAGAAGGACATGTTCGGCCAGGCGGTGCGAGATCCACAGCACGCAGGGATTTCGTGACGCGGGGCTCGTAGATATGCAGCTTGACTTTTGCAGAATTCGCGTGAATCTCATCGAAGAGCTCGTTGACTTCGTACTGTGAGACCAGAAGCAAGTTGGCAGGCTGGGCATACTGCTTGCTTGTGAGAACCCAGTTCACAGGACGAAGATAGCTATCGTAGTAGCCAGACTGCGGGCGGTCCACCGTCCGGGGGAAATCCGTGGTCACTCTTAGATGACCAAACAGCTCGGCTGCGATTGAATCTTTTGCTGATGTGTGACCGACAACGTCATGTGCTTGAGTAAACTGTTGGAAACTGAGATCGCTACCAGTGCGTACGAATTGTCGAAGCGAAATGTCCACCACACGTCTGACGGCCTTCACGTGGGGAGGGCGCTGTATCTGTGTCTCTTGTTCAACTTCATGGGCCACTTCTCGCTCATGCTCCTCGTGCATCGACGCGCCTGCTGAAATAGAGAGATCCACACTTCGCCAAATCGCGAGCAGCTTTTGTACAGTGGGATCAGAATCCTTTTGGCTAGAATCTATGACAGATAGGACGCCGCTGGTCTTGAGGGACGCAGGAGCGTAAAGATCCGTGAGGCGCTGCTCTTCTTTCTCTCTGAATGCCGATATAAAACCCTTCGTAGCATCCGTCTCGTTGGCTACGTCTTCAAGATTATCATATCTTTCCCTGAAGCGAGCCATCGTGTTTTGTCGGTGATGATGACTCAAGCCTTGCAGCACTCGCAGCGGCTGGGAGCGCTCAATGTTTAAGCAGCTCTGCTCAAGACTCCAGGCGACAACGTCGTAGCCATTAATATCGTTACCGTCCTTGCCAGTAACACCTATGATGCTCTGGTGGACTTCCGGCGGCGCCACAAACATCAACGACTGGCCTTGACCAAGCTTGCGAAGCCGCATACACGCTATGAAACTGTTAGGCTAAAAATTGAAACACTCATGGTTGGAAACTTGCCTTGGACGAGCTTGTCTTTCGCCAGTCTTGGGCCTAGAGTCACGGCCGCACGAGTATTCGTTGGCAGCTTTAGATCGGTCCCTCTGGTATGTACTTCATCGAGATAAACAAGGCATCGATCCATACGGGCTTGAAACGAGGAGGCTGTGAGTTTTTCGAGGTTGTTATCCCGGTTCAGTACCATGACATTGTCGTCTTTGTCGAAGAAGATGCCCGCGTCAGCATTGGGGATCATGGTCATCCAAGTCCTGACCAGCTCTTTGTTGGACACGTCCAGCACTTGCGCCCCAACGTCAATCAATACCCGCACATGGGGGTCGGCGTTGGTGATATCTTGGAGCAGTGCTTTGGTTGACACCTGCCGACCTTTCGAGTCTCTTGCACAGAAGTAGCGCAAATTCTCTTCTCGTACGACACAGTCCAGCACCTTTCCACTGGTATGCTGGAGATTCGGCAGATCTTGCTGTGTGATTGAAAGTGGAAGTAGGAAACGATTGTCGTTGGTCCCGCTGAAACCTGTGGTCAAATGCGGTCCTCCAACTTTAGCTGGCACATCCCAGCCAGATGTTGACAATTTCTCGTCAAACTCTTTGCCCTCTTTAGGGAAGACGACGTTGGCCAAGAAGTAGTCAGTAATCTTCTTACAGTGCCTCAAAGCCGGAAACAGTTCGTTGCTGCATTGATGGTCGTCCTCGAGGTTCACAGAGCTCCAGTCTTTTAGATGGCTTGGCAGATTGGTGCAGCGGTTGATCCACGCTCCGTACTCCAACGAAGGATCGTCGGCCTTCGAAAGCAGCTCAAAGCACTGCCTGATCTGTGGCTCGGACAGACCAGTATAATAGTATGATAGGCAAGTCAGGCCTATCGCAACATCGGGGTGCCCAAACTCAGCGCTCGGAGCAGGAACATCTTTAGCGCGATAAGGAACAGCCGATAAACAACGTGTGGGGTGCAAACCATAGTTAACAGACCATCTCTTTTCCCGCAGCACGAACAGCAGGATCCTGTAAGCGATCAGACCTCGAGTCAAGAGGAGGTTTTGTAGGAATGATGCTCCGCCACCATAGAAGCCTTTGATCACATCGGAGTCCTCTTTAGAGACGCGTACGTTTTGGATGAACTGTAGCACAGCCTCCTTCACCCGTGTCGGACATTGCTCGAAGCTCAAGGTAGGGAGGTGGCTTTCCAGCACGTCATCAGCCACCTTACTCATGAGTTTGTGGGCAATGGATTCCGAAAGTATTCTTATGGTGGGGAAGCTTGAACGCGTCCGATGGTTTATCTCTATGTGCCTATGGTCTGTCTTTTGAAGAATGATAGTGTGCTTCTCAATAAGGTCGAACATTGATTGTATTAAGAGCCAGCGGTCAGGCTGACCATCCATTAGTCTTTGAGAGCCCAGAGTGTAGATGAGCTGGAACTTGACATCGAGGATCTCATCGCTCTCATCTAAAAGATCTCGAGAGTTCGCCTCCAACCAGCTCTGTGATTGGAGGAGCGGGGCAGCGATCTCAAATTCTCCCGCCGTTAGCCGCTCGATTCCTATTAGCTTGAATGAGAGTATGTGTTCGGGCTGGGCAAGTAGAATGCCTTTGGAAGATTTACAAGTCTCCTGCAATACCTGGATTTGTCTAACCACCGCCGTGGTGATGTCAATCTTCCTGCTGAATGGCATATAATAGATGGCACGATCCAGTAAGCCCCCCAAACGCACGGTGAGGGTATCGCTCATTTGTTGAGCCAACGACTTGAGGACGATGACCCTTGACAGTCTACTGCCATTTGCGATTGCGACAGCAACAAGAGGGACGATCACAGAAGACTTTCCCTCTCCCTGTAATGACGTCAGCAGTTTGTTACACGCAAGAAATTTAGGGAACTAGACCATGTTTAGCTGTGTGAGAGAGCTCATAGACGATGACGGGCTCAGCATCTCGAGTGCCACTTGTGCCTGATTTGGTCGGATGAGAAGGTCGTTCTCTATTTCAATCAAAAGCCACTCAGGCCAACGAGAGGCTTCCCATCCGACACGCCCGACGTTTTCCAGCTCAGCAGACAGAGTCGGTACATCGTTCCGTTCGCCAGCAAGTACAAGTCGCCGGGCACGCTGAAGGATTGTGATTGCCTCCCCTAGCGCAAGGAGGCGGGACTTCCAGCACAAAGGTACTTTCAACACCGCGAAATTGGCTAAGATTGCAACGATAGAACGAATTGTGGGTCGCGGCCGAAGTCCCCCGGCCTCCAAGATCTGTGAAACTCGGTCCTTAGGGCCAAGGCTATCGCATATGCGCTCGAACATATCGGAAAAATACTCCTGACAACCTTGACCGTCTAGCAGAAGGTCTCTAAGCGAGCAGGGTAACGTGCCGGGAACGAGGCGCTCTTTGTGGTTACCAAATGCATCGAGGCTGGCTAGAAGCTCATCGCTGTACCGCTTGCGCATGGATGATTTTTTTCGTTCTGCGCCCAATGCTTTGACCAAGCTTTGGAGCTTTGGATTGGAGGTTGAAACTTGTGATATGCTTTCAATGGTTTTGACCTCACGCTTTTGGGACAGTGGGGGCGGCGCAGCCGACATGAGCATAGGCAACGTTGGTAGCAGAGGGGCAGCATCCAGTCTCAGATGGGCCTGCCACGTTTGCCAAACGTCAGCTCTGTACTGTTGAGTAGGTCGGTCTTCGTATATCCGATCCAGTATTGATTGAGCACGGCTTATATAATTCTGGAGCTCTCCATTCCTGGTCCAATGAGCGAAGAGAAGCTCAACCTCCAGGCTTGCAGCATGTATATCCAGCAGACTTGCACTTGCTGCCCTAGGAGGCTGGGGTACACTGCGAGGCCATTGGTCACTGTAGTGTTCTAAAACACTATCAGTCTGGACCTGTTTGTCGTCGTCGTAGGTTTGCTCTTCCGCTCGTCGGTCAGATGCACTCATGTGACTGGATGAAGACGTGAATTCTTTCATTTGTCGCTGGATAATGGGGCGCACTTCTGAAGAGAGGAAAGTGATGCCGTGAGTCAATGTAAACGACTGATGGGAAGGAGGGCTGCCAATTGCGCGCAGCTCCCGCGAGAAAGCGAATGCCAACAAGGTAGCCAACCGAGCGAGATCTGTAATGTCGCGGCCGTATGCTATCGTGGAGAAGAGAAAAAGCAATCGATAGGTGTCTTGTTGTTGCGAGCTGGATCGGCAAAGTTCCAGAAGGCTTGCCCACGAAGAAGCCCAAGAGACATCCAGCAATTCAGACAACGGCTTTGAAGACCCGAAGCGCGCCTCGAATCCAGATACTGTTCCCAGGGCTTGAAGCTCTTGCATCAGTCTCCTAGATACCTTGCATTTCTGGGGCCACTCTCGGACGAGTGATGCAATGCCATATGTCCTAGCTGCTCGCCCCCCCAATGGAGTGCGATCGCGAGCTTGGTATGTGACGTCCCATTGATTTTTGGCTACATTGCCACCAATTCTAGAGCCAAGAAAGCCAGAATCCCTGACCTTTGCACGATCCAAAAGGTCCTTGTCGCGACCAGCATACAGGTTCGAAGCTCCTTTGCTGTCTGGATAGAAAACGAGAAACCTATCTCCGGAAGCCAGAATCTGCTGGGCAAGCATCACGAAATCATCGTGTTGGGCCATCGTAGATAGCCGAGGGTTCCATTCGACTTGCTGCATCACTTTGAGATGCTTCGGGTAAAACTTACGGTCAGGCGTCAGCTCAGCGATCCATGTCAAAAGTCGAAGTATTTCCTCGTCCGCTGGTTTCGTCAAGCTTATGGACTGTTGTCGGAGACAAGCCAAAGCCTCTTCTGTTCCAGTGTTGCCAGTAAACGGATCAGGAAGCACGTATGATGTGACAGCATGAAGGTACGCTTTGTACAAAGTGCTCGTAATGTCTCCGGATCCTTGGAGACGCCGTAAGACCCCATCGATCTGATACCGGAACAGCCGGATTTTTCTGCCGCTAGTGTCCACTTTCACACTGACGTGGGAGCTGTTTTTTGAGATGGACACCTCCCCTTGGGGAATTAGCAGAAGACGGTCAAATTTCTTAGCCAGCCGACCGATCCCGCAAAGGACCAGCCGGCTCTTAAGCCCAATCATAGTCTCGAGGGCCTGGTCAGGATCCACGATACGACAAAGCTCATGACACTGGAAGTGGCCCTCTGTGTTCAAGAAAAATTGAAGATCAAATCTGGGTAAGTAGACATCAAGCCGCCCGTCAGAAGAGAGAAAAACAAGGGTATTTTCCCAGGTTTCCAATGCTCGGAATACGTCCATTGCTCTCCTGAAGGTAGCACTTCGTACATCAACCAGCGAAATGTCGCCTTGGGAAAGATGTGAAACATTATTCGGTTGGTATCCCAGGCGCCAGTTCTTCTTTACGCTAGTCCAACGCCGTTTTAGTGGTCTGAATTCGATTTCGTGGGATGACAGATCGAGCCAGTGAACGTAATCATTGATGAGTTTAGAAGGCATGTCACCCACGAAGACAGCATGGGGCACATATTCCAAGATTTGCGAACCTTGACGGAGCTTAACCACGACTTTCCCTTCACGTACGGTGAAATAGGCCAGATAGCCATGAATCTCCTGGGCTGTCATGTAGAGCATTCCGGGCATGTCCGCGGCGAAGACATTTAGAAGCTGGGATCCAAAGACTCTTCGATAAGTTTCGCTGCTAAGGTATTCCCTTGGAAGTCGACCCAGTGGTCTTCCATCCACCAACAACTCTCCGTCTAGAACATTGTAATGCACCGTTTGCGAGGCGCAGCCGGAGGATGCTTTTGTTCGTGTTGTTACCCATCGCTCGTTTGGACCAGACAGAGCGTTCCAGCTGTTCGACGCAGATTGAAAGCCAGGCCAGACCTTCGATATTCCTCGGTCGAGGCCTTGATTGGTGCCTGTCATGACAAGGCCAAGAGCAATGCTGTGAAGGGCATGCGTGAGGTTTAGATCGTGTAAGTACATGCGACGTGTGTACGGCGATAAAGATGTGGCGTCGCCCAGGACATTTTCTCGAACCAGCACGCAGCTGATGACCCACGTACTCAGATCGCTGTCGCTGTCCAACACTTGTGGGATGTAATGACTGTCAACGTCGTAGGTCAATTTGCAAAGCATGGCAGCCTTCAGCAGGCGGTGTTGGAGGTTCTGAACCTGAGCGTCTTTGGTAGCTTCGTGCAGAAGACTCCGCAATGCTCCCATCCACTGTTGAGTAATTCCGCGGATACGTCTCAACAATTCCAGAGCCAGTGAGACGACGCTATTATCTGGGGTAAGAGAAAGCGTCCGAAGTGTAACGTTGACCAGAAGCAACATGAAATAGTCACTTTTCCAGTTTGCCTCCACAGTGTCCAAACTTACCCGGATCTTAGCCAAGAGCTCTTCGCAGAATGGCTGGTTGCCAAGAATGCGGTGCGAGATTCTGTGCACATTGTCCCCACTGGACCCCGCTTGATAAGCAGCGTGCAAAAACAGTGTCGATACAGCTTCGGTATTAAAGCTTAAATTGGAGGCGCTCAGCTCGCGTTGAATATTGACCCATTGGGTTTGTTCACCGTCTGCGCGCAAGGACCCAAAGCTAATAAACTCATGGAGACTCAACGCAGGGGAGCAAATGTCCTGCTTTGCCAGAACATGGTTCTGTGCATGATCTGTTGAATCGACAGCAAATTGCAAGTTTGAGTAAGGACCATCGGGAAGCGGCTGGATACACTTATGCTCGAGGCTTGGCTTGTTGGACTGCTCTTTCACCCAACTCAACTGTGTTTTGTCTAGCATTTCGTACTGTAACGCATTGTTACTGTAGATCTCATCATAGCGAACGGGGAACCCGAGAGTGTAGTGTGTCTTCTCGAAGGACTTCACCGTCGATGCTAGTACCATACGTGACGACTTCTCTTGGCTGTAGCTCCGAAGCCCAGAGTAAGAATGCAAGGTATCGGCGTGGATTTCACCACGATTCCACTGGGGCCTCCCAATGTCATGCGTCAGCATCCATGTAAGATTACGCCAAGCGACGAAACCTGCCGGACAGTCAAGCTCGAACACAGCGGACATGCAGGAATACTGGTCTGTAGGCAGCGGCCACTCGTATTTGGAAATTCTAGTATTTTTTGCTTGGCTTTTGAGATCGCATTTCTTGCAAGGCACATTGTGCACCCAAACGCTGATTTCCATGATGTATTGGCACTCAAGTGCCTCCGCCTCGGAAATGAGCCGGCGATACCTATCCGAAGCTTCCACCCATTCCGACTTCTTGGCCGCCCTCTTTTTTGAGGCTTCTGCTTCAATCCGCGCCCTCAAAGCCTGGTGTGGGGCGGAAATAGCATAATACGCCACCGCAAAGGATCTGCTTCCGGGATCGGAGAAGATGGAGGGATTCTCTTGCCTCGCGTGGGCATGGCGGAATGTGATGTACTGCTCCACTTTGTGCAGACGCTGCATATGGCCCCGTTGGGGTAATAGTAGCGGGTAGAACAGGTCGTTAGAGACCACCGGAGAATACTGCTTGAGTAGGGGGAAGAGATTGATTGCCAAGCGGTCGACCGCATGCCAGAGCTCCGCAATAATGAGTAACATTATCGAAAGCTGCTCTGGTGCGTCGACGTAGGCTGTTTCCGATTTGTGCCAGTAGCTTTCTCCTAGAGTGGCAAGTGCCATGCAGTCCTCAGGAGCTGGGGGGCACGAGTCGAACTTTGCAACCCAGGGAGGAAGAGAAATCGTAACCCAGCTTTCAAACTCGGCCAGCACGAAGACAAGCTCTTCCCCCGCAGCACTGCTCGTATCAAGACTTGGAAGTCCTCGAGACGATCCCAGCCAAGGTTGACAATCTGGAGCAAAGGATTTTGCGGAGGCAGCTTTGTTTTGGCCGTACGCCAATGTCGCGTCCAAGTATAGTCTACTCACACTCAAAGAGAGTGCTGCATCGCGGGCAAAAGATGATTTCTGGACTGTCGTTGGGCGGTCGGCGTCCAATCTCCGCACCTCGGCCCACTGCACGCTCTGTTGGGCCCTAACACGCTGGCAGGTATCCAAAGCCTCCTCCTGGACGAAGCCAAAGGTATGTGGACCTAGCTTATGCACACGACGAGCGATCTTGGCCAGAACGGCATGACACGTATCCACTGGCTCATCCATACGCACTGCCATGGACGCAATCTCTGACATCAGATATATCATGAAATTTTTATACTGGATGTTCCCCTCTTCTGTCAGTAATTCTCGGCACAATGTAGTCTGTATGGTGACCCGTATAGCAAGCCAAAGGGGCGATCGTCGCCAAGGCAGGAGAGCGTTGCTCCACAAAACGTCGTCTCTTGTTCGTTTAGTGATTCGCTGTGCTTGGACCGACTCTCCCACGGAAGCTAGGATGGCCATGAGCATGTCGCTTACAAGTCCTGGATGAGCAGTGTCTCGAATCTCCGCCATCTTAGAACCCGCCTTATGAGATTGAGGCATCATTTCGTCGACAACCTCCATGTCTAGCTTGCTTAATGCAGCAGCCAGTTCGTTGTGGAATCGAGGGTCATGGAAGGTCGAGACATGGACAGCACGGGCATGGGCGGGAAATGTGCAAAGTAGACTTCCTTTGCATCCCATGACGGCACCAGCAGAGGGAGAAGCCTCGAAGCATTCAAATATAACCGTTTCCTTGGTCCTTCGCAAGATGAGCATTGCATTCTGAGCTTTGATCGGTACGATGAGAACATCTGCGAAGATGAGATTAGCGAGAGAGGCAGCAAAGGTTGTGGCAGCTAGACACAAACACACCTTTTACTCTCAGCTCCACAAACAGACGCGTGAGAACATCCGCAGACAAAGTGTCTGTGGAGACCACGGTAGCACAACGCAAGAGCATGGTCTTGATGACGTCCCCGGCGTTGTTGAATGCAGACAGGGGGCCATAATTGTCTCGCCGGTATTGACGCCAATAGGCATCCAATTTCGATGAGAGGAGCCCGAGTAAATGTTGTCCAGCGGCACGAGAGGTCTTCGAATTGTCCGCTTCCTGGGGCAGTCTAGGTGGTAAGATGACATGGTTGATGATAAACTCTAAGGATTCTGCAGGATAGAGAGCCATGGCCGTGAGCTGTGCCAACACAACGGCCGGCCAAAGATCTACTGGTGGCTCAATGAATTTTGTAAAGTGGAAAGTGAGAAAAGCAGAAAGTGTGGGCTATGCCAGGTCGTATCAGAGACAGAATTCTTTGGTGAGAAGACGGTGACCGCTTTTTGAGCGACTGCGGACCGAGGTGATGCACTGGCCCGATGAGGTCCGTCAAATTGTAATGCGAGTGAGCAGCAGTTGTCGCTGATGCCGGATCGCCATGAAAATGAGACTGTGTGTGATGCAACTGTAATGTGAGAAGGAGGCGATCCAATGTGTGTAGAAGTATTGAAGTGGTCAGGCAAGGCCTAGAGTCCAACATAAAAACTTGGCTCTCCTTCACACCACAACTGACAATGCGCGGATTGATGCTATCTGGTCAAAACTGTTCTCGACCACTGTACAAATAAAGCATTCCCAAGAGCTCTTGGTAAGTATTGTCGCAACCCGGCCGCTTGGGCCTGTGTCTCATGAGCAAACGCGTTTCCCTGTTCTTGATCAAGCATTAGATGCTGGAATCCTTGTCCGTTCCAGGGGCCCGTTCCAGGGCCTCATGTACTGACATGGCTATGTCGGGCAGTTCTGTTGCAGGGAGGAAAGAGAAGCCTTGTGCGGGGCCGCGGGCAACAGCAGATACGTACTTCCCAAATGCAGCCAAGCAAACCTACACCGCATCGAGACTGCATGTCCATGCCACACTCTGACACGGAAAAGTTGCCGTTTCTCGGCTGGAAGAGCTCTGGCATCCTAACCAGGAGCCCGACGCAGGTATCCCCATCCTCATTGTCAGAAGCCGACCCCATCTAACGCACCCAGAGCCGTCCACACAACCGTATCCCTCCTCAATCACCAGCACACATAGTCTCTGTCACTCTCCCGCTCTATCCTTGTTCCAAACGACCATACCGCCGTGCCGACGCTCTTCCAAAGCCTTGCCCACGGCTTATACTCCACCTCTTATCCGATGCATCTTCCTCCGCCACCCCATCCCTGCCCCAAACCCACAGCCTTCAAGCATGATCTCTAGGCAGTACATAAAACCATTTCTATATCCCATATACGCTCAGTCTGCTTCACATCAGACGCCATTGGAGGAGCGGAGGCATATGGAGTGTCCGATGGAGAGCAACTGATCGTTGTGGCTGTCTGGAGAAAGCTGGTTTTTTGTTGGGTTGGGAAGAGAGGGTATTATTGGTTGTAGGAATTGCTTGGGGATGATGCCGGCGAGGCGGATGAGGACGTGGTGGTGCGGTGGTATGGCTATCCATTAGTGAAGGGAATCGGAATGACTGAGGCGGAGAGGAGTTGAGGGGAAAGGATGGGAAGCCTGGACGGCAAGCTGTCGATGCAGAGAGAATTGGAGGTATCAGCGCATAAGCATTCGCTGTGCATGACGGAAACTGCACAAGAACGAGCGTTGGAGAGCGCGCAGACTTCCTCGTCGATGCTGCTTCTCTCAGAGTTCCGAGAAATGTTGACCCTCGTAACCTTGTAACATTTCAAACGGCTGGTCTTGGCGCCAAGCTCATGCCAATTGACCAATCATGTCCAATCGAGCCTTCCACCCATTATTGCATGGGACACCTTTGTATAGAACCTTCATGTGCACGTGAGACCTATCAAGATTGGGGACATTTCCCCTGAATTAGCAAATTAGGCATTACAGCTATGGATATGTACATTGAACCGTCGCATCATCAACGTGCACGCTTTTGCTTGACATTCAACCACCGCTGCTATCCTCGTTTATGTAGTGTGACTTGTCTCGGCTCAGGAAAGAATGACCTCCGCCGGGCCAGCAAGAGTACCGAAGCTCGACAGCTGATCCTCCGTCAATGCATCAGCAGTGGGGAAGGTCGTAAGCACAGCAAACGCTGCTCCAGCTGCTCCCTCAGGGACAGGGATGGTAGCACAACCAGTACCGCAGCTTGTGACTTCGGTGTAGGTAACGTTCGTGACCATGTTGATCAAACCAATGTAGAGAGGTGTGCCAGGCGCCACCTCGACGAAGAATGTCGAGGGATCATAGATGAACTTGAGCAATGTTCCGGCAGGAGTCGGAGGCTGAAGGTTTGAAGGTGGCATGGGCGACTCGAGTGTCAGCTTGGGTAGGATAGGAAGAGGTAGCTGCTGTGGGCACTCGACGATGAACATCTGAGCGAGGTTGTACGCGAAAACGGCTGTCAGAGCGGTATCGAAGGACGTAGGGAATGGTGAAGCACCAACACCGGCTCGGAGATATGAATCGTGGCGAGCTTCAACAGTGAGAATGCTGGCTGAAGCGACCTCTAGCATTGGGTCATCCGTGAGAAGTTCTGCGCCCCCAAGGTATGCACCGATGCCGACGGAGGTGATCATGTTGGCCAGGTCGACGAAGGAGGTGGGGGAGTCGTAGGGAAACTTGTAACTGCATGTTGGGACAGGGGTGTAGCCGGCGTTCTCGAGGATGGCGCTGATGGTAGCGGAGTGGGTTGCTTCATGCTGTCAGAGACTCTCGTTAGCACTGCTTCAGTAGATGGTAGGGCATCGTAAGACAGCGTACCGAAGCAATCACGCCAACGTTCTCACGGAAGCCAGCGGGGAAGCCAGCTGCAGTGTACTCAGCATCCATAAAGTTTTCATAACCACCGGTATACAAGGCGAGCTCGAGGTGTTCCAGGTACAGAGCTAATTGCAGGACGGACTCGTCGGTAGCACTGTCGACCGGTGGCAGCGTATTGACCCTCTTCTCGACTGGAGCGGCTACGGCCGAGGCCAGGAGACTCGCTAGGCAAGCAAAGGTGAGGCGCATGTTGGCGTTGGCGGTTTCAGTGGTTTAGGTATATCTCGGTGAATGGAGTTGCTAGGCGTTGAATGTCTAGAGACCGGTTCCTGCAGGAGGAGAGGGCAGTATATGAAGCTCTTGTTCCCCGCACTCGTTCCTTCCCCATGTTTGCCTCCGTCACTCTGCACGACCTTCATCCCGCCCTCTTTTTCTCTCTTGAAGTTGACATCATGACATTTGTACGGCTAGGCAGGAGCGGGCAACGTGGTCTATTGTCCATTGCGAGAGTTTAGTGGTGGGCAAGTGCAACTACCTAGATCTCGTCCATCGCAAGGCTGCGTGCCACCAACCTTCAATGGTTTGTCATAGCGTCGATGGCGTGGCGGAGCAAGGTATGCGATTCGCTGGAGAATGTCCGGATGTTGATGCTGCCGGATGCAAAAGCAGAGATGGGAGTGCGGGGAAATGAAGGGCTCACAGCTCGGCAGGGGTGAAAAAAAGTTCGGCAGGGGTGAGTAGATGCTAAGTATATGCACCTCGTCCGGGGTGAAAGGGTACACTCAGCATATGCCAGCACCTCATCGGGGGTGAAGAAAATTAAATTCAGTCCAGCGACATTGGCTCGCGCGAGGTAACTTACCCACAATAGAAGCATATACTTAGCATATGCTTCGCTTTTATCATATAATACTGATTTCTTAAATCTAATTTACGACCTCTCGGCCTTGATAGTTCCGGAACCCATTACGCGCTTTACTTCCAGTATAGTTTTATTATACAATTAGTAGATCACGGAGGTCTTCGCGGCGGGGACGTGTAGGATAGGCGGTTGAGGTATATGCATAGTATATGCCTGTATCCCCCTCTAAAGTGCCAACATTATTTTAAACCCGGCCCGAGTTCATCCGAGGTAAAACGGATACGTTTAGCATATGCTATAAATTCATTCGGGGTGAAGTAAGCATATGCCGAAGCTTCCCCTGCCGAACTTTTTTTCACCCTGCCGAGCTGTAACCCGGGAAAGGAACATTATTGTCTACCAAGAAGTCACCACACTAGCGACGCACGCTAGAAATACATTTTGCCACCCTCTCACGAGAACAACAATATTGTCTGCGCCAGTATTTAATGATCAATTCTGATGCCCCATAGAGCGGTTTTATATGAAAAGACTGCACGTATAGCGAACTGGTTGTCGTTCGTTTTGGCCAGCTCGGCGGCTCCTCATTCTACCTGGAAAGCAGCTTCTCTTCGTTTTCGACTACTCCACCACTTTGCCCGTGTGGAAGTCATTGGCTCTTACGCACTCATGATGTCAATGAGAACGAAAGATTTAAAACTATCTTTCTGTTTTGGCCATATGGAGGTGTCATGACTACGTGGACAACCAGCTCGAACCGTAAATGGTATTCGTGCACGCAGCAAGGCGACCCTCCCTGATCGCAGGGCCGCAGATGATGCAGCTCGGCATTATTGTACCACCACATCGACCTTTTTAACAACAACAAAAGATCTGTTCCCTGTGACATGGTCTTCGTTGATATTGACACTGCTCTGCTCTTTCGATGGCCCTCCTCTCTTCACTTTCGAGTGTACCTGCACTTTCGGTATGGATATCACCTAGTCACTCGATGACCACCGTCGAAGACCATGGACACCCACCAATTGCCTGTACAATGGAGATTCCCGTATTTCCAGGAGCTCTCTTACCCTGGTATCTCCTGATGTGACTAAGGAACGAGTTCGTCAGCCAATATGATTTTGTATCGTGATATCGCGGGAGTATCATACTCGAAGGTACACTCGAAGGTACACACATGCAGCATGCAAGTGTTCGATCTTACCACTCCTACACCACTCGTACTCGCTTGCACATGCCGAGAATGAAGCGAGTGCCGAATTTCAAAGAGTGCTAGTGGAGGATCCAAGCTTCTAAGATTGCGCCACTCCCGCCGCTTCCCGGTATGCCCACTCCCAAGAGGGAGAATTGGATATTTGGATGAACATGGGAAGGGTGGTGAGGGCGATGGTTCAATGGCAAAGGTTCTCATGCTGCACGTGACAGGAATCTGCGGTGATCTGCCCGATGCTTCCAATTCCGTTTGATGGGTTATCTAGACGCAGCCACTGCAGCAGGCTAAGAGATTAAGATAGGATTCGTCCACCTATCAGAATTGCACTCTGCTCCTCGTGCTTTCTTCTCTCTCTTCAAGAGGAGCATATCTGTATCTTCAATGTCCCGGACTTGGAATTTGGCACAGATATGCTGATGATATCTTGTTGATGGTGCCGATGAAGGATGGATATCTTCGGAAATCACACTCAGCTTTCCCATGTCGTCATCCGCTTTGACAGCTCCCCTGCGCCGTGCTCTGCTTTCTTAAGAGCTGCAGAAGCCTCCGGGCCTAGATCATTTGCTTGAAGAATCTTCCTGCATCGAAACGGATTTCTGCCTTACGAGTACAACGATACATTGCCCTCACCTCTCAAAATGCAGCTCCTCAATTTCCTCCTCGCCTTCACTCTCTTCACCTTCACCTACGCTATCCCCCAGTCACCAGTCGGTTCCAGCGGTAGCGGAGACGCTGGTGGCAGTGGCAACGACGGTCCCGGTGACGCCGTGGGCTCCGCAGCTGCCTCGTCTAGAGCAACGCGTAAGCAGCATCCTCCACCTTTCAATGATCATAAGTTCGAAGAAATAGCTGCTGATACTGATGTCTGAACAGAGCCAACGGGATCAAGCACTAGCTCCAAGACCAGCACCGCCACCTCAAGTTCCGCCAGTACTGCTGCGACCAAAAAAGCTGCTGCCGCCATGCTCTCGCCGGATTGGGCCGTTGCTGGCGGACTGGCTGCCATTGTTGGAGGAGCTGCGATGCTATAACGGTGGAAACCCTGAGCCGCGAGAATATGGTACAATAGAAGGGTTGACATTGAAATACTGTTTTTGGGGGAAGGGTTTTGGCACTAGACGAGCATGACAGTGGTGGGATGGGGAGTGTACGAGTACATGTTCTGTCATGTTCTGTAACGAGATAAGGGTCTATAGAACGTCTGATCTATAAGCTGTCCTCTCCTTATCGTCTTTTCCTCGACCCGCGAGCCCCGGAGCTGGCACGCTGTCCATTATTGCCACTGGCGTAGATTGGGCAGAAGAGAAGAGAGCGTGGGCTCGGAAAGTGAAGAGCGCGACTGGACTGCTCTAGAGCCGCTCTGCATGAGGCGTCAAGTTTTCTCGTCCTCTGAAGCGCGACCTCCCAAAGACGGAGTCCCCGTCCGACGGGGACTTCCTCTCTATAATTGTAGTGTGGCATGGCTGATGCCTGGATGACATACACCGACGGTTTAGCTGGCAGTCGGGAGTCTAGAAAAGGAGATGACAGACCGTGAACGGAGGTTGATAAACGTAGAGTCCCGCTCGGCGCTAGCACCAGCCCTAGCCCTACCATCGGAAGGCAGCCCTATCATCGAAGACCCTAGAATTCATTCCCGGGAGCGCATCGATTGTACATAGGGGCATCTTTTGGGCCGATAGGGGGACCGTGGACCTGAGCGGGCCTCGGGGTAGGTGCATTTGCGACACAGTCCCGAGTGCATTGTAAGAGGCGATATCCGACACCTGGACCTTTTCCTCGGCCATGTGCAGGACTCAACCTCCGTAAAGCGGGCGGGATGGTGTTGGTAAATACCTGGGTATGCAGTTACTGCTATAATGAGACTTATCACTAGATATGATAGTCTTAATAATATCTAAGAAAGAAGGATATCTATATATAGAGAATGCCTTTATATATTAATAATTAAGTTAAATAAGTACTAGTAATAGCGAGTATTAAGTCGTTTCAATACTAGCAAAAAATAGAAAATAAGATTATTTATATATTATATTCCTTCTCCGTAATTTCTATAATCGTAATTACTCTCTCTACTATAATAGATATAGATCTAGTTATATTAAATATATTTCTAATAATACTACGCTAAAATAACTTTCTATTAATTAATATTAATATCTTATCTTTTTATCTAATCTACTAAATCTAATTTTAGATAATTTATATTTACTAAATATTATAGTATATTATATCTCTTATTCTTTATTATTAAATTAATTAGATTCTTATTTTCTTTAATTTATAGAATCTTAATAATCTCTTATCGTTTATATAACTATTTTAGATATAGAATATCTATTATTAGTCTTTTCTCTTATATTATTCTTAGCTTAATAAGATATTCGTATAAAGATTTCGAGTTTATATATATAGAAAGAGATATCTTTCTTTAAAAAGTATTAGAGAAAATTTAATTTAGAGTAGATTTTATAATAGCTATAATATCGAATTTTAAGAATAATATATAAAGTTTAATATTAAGGAATCATTATAATTTAACTCATATATATATATATTATAAAAGATATTAATTATCTATATAATCTATAAATAGATATATACGATATTAAGCTTACGCTAGTAACCCTATAAGTATCCCTAAGATATCTTATAACAATTATTTATAAAAAATAGAGAAATGCTATATTCTTATAGCAAGAAGTATATATATATAATTCTTCGAATATTGAAAATAAATGAAGACACCGGGCTAATTAGTGATATATATTCTATGAAATCTCCTACTGAAATAAAAACTTTTAAATAATAAAATAACTGTCGGAGCAAGACATCGGACGATTTTAATTCGTCCAAATATGTATTATCCGATCTTTCTTCTAATCTTTCTTCTATAGTAGTTTAATTAACTATAATTAACGTAATAGATTCTTCTCTTATATGCTTATTACAGTGATATACTATAATATAATATTATCGAGGTACGCGGAGATAGTAGACTATATTATATTAATATTCTCTATTTACTAAGTAATAACTTAACGCGGAATTATAGAGAGTAGGTCTGCGTTCTTAGTACTAAGAGCCTTACTATCGCTTAATTTCTCCGCCGTATTCTCCGTAGTATTCTCCGTATTTGCCTATTATAGTTTCTTCTCTTATAAAGTCTTAAACTAAGTAGCTAGCTAAGTATTTAACTGAGTAGATAACTAAGTAGCTTGCTAAGTAGCTAATTAAGTGACTGACTATAAAGATCTTCTCTTATATTACTAACGTCGAGTCTTCTAATTTTAATTCTTTTTTTCTACTATATTATACGTATAAATAAATACTTCGATAATCGAGTAGCGTGAAAATTAAATAGATTATTACTATCTTAGTTATAAGAATTAAGATCGTATAGTAAGTATATCGTTAGATTCGAAGATAAAAAAGTAAAGTCGAATTCTCGATGAAAGCTAGTACGGGCTACGTTAGAGGTACTTAAATATATATATAACTATAACGTAAATAAGATAAGTCTTATAGCGTATAAATTTATTATAATATCGATAGGTCTATTAAAAGAATCGATTAAAACGTAATATTTTATTAAAAGGTACTCGATAACTACGAGTATATTAAAGATTCGACTTAAAGCGTTATACTATTAGATATTAATATAGGCTTTACGTAAACGTATAATATAGACGTAGCTCGTAAAAGAGACGTCTACTATATTATAGGATTAAGTGAAATTAGATCTTAAGATATTACTATTAATTATTAAAAAATTATTATAATTTAACTTATATATATATATATTATAAAAGATATTAAATATTAATATAGTCTATAGATAGATATATGCGATATTAAGCCTACGCTAGTAGCTCTATAAGTATTTCTAAGATATCTTATAACATTTAAAGACTAATACGCTTCTAATAACTTAATAGTATTTAATTAATTATTAATAGATAATATTAGTCTTATTCTAAGCGTTAGCTAGAGCTATTATATAGTCGATTTAAGAAAAAATATCTTTATTATTAGCGAATAACGAATTTATAAAAATTATAATTTTTAGAGATATTATATCTAACTTAATAAATATAAAACTTCTTTTTTTTATTTATTATAAAAAATAGTAATTTAGATATTAAATATTCTTATATATAAACTCTATAATCTAAGCGATATATGATAAAATAAATATCGCTTATAGCTATAATATAGTTATAATATATATTTCTTATACTCGTTAAGCGATATACTATTTTTTTTATAAACGATTTCGTAAATAATTAAATCTTCTTCGCTTATCTAAGCTAATTAATTCTTATATTATCTTTAAAAGTAATAACGAATTTATTAAATTCGAGAGGCTATTTTAAAATAAGTCTCTTAAATAATTTAGTTATTAATCTAGCGATATATAATTCTTATAATTTTATATTTATAAACTCGATAATATTAGCGATAAGAGAGTTATCGATTTATAAATTAATAACTACTATTATATTATTATTAAATAATAGATAAATATTAAATATAAATAAGATTATTTCTAGCTTCTTTATATAATATTTATATTATATCTAAAACTAATAGATATCGAATTTAGTAATTTTATAGAGGGGGAGAATAATACGAAATATCGTTTTTAAGAATAATTCTATTTTAATTAAGATTAAAATAAAGATATCTCTAATTAATTTAAATTAAGATTATATATATATCTAAGTAATATCGCGTAAATATAAAGATAGTTATAAGATAGCTAATAATAAAGTAATAATAAATTATTAACTAGTTTATTAAATAATAAGAATCTAAATAAGAATTTTATATTTCTTTAAGTTATTAAATATTTATATTACTAATCGCGACTTCTTAAAGACTTTCTTAATACTCTTATTCTTAACTTAATTTATAAAATAATTATTAAATATTTATACTTTTACGAAGATATCTTCGATCTTTATAATTTTAAATTTTTTTTTAAGTAATTTATTTAATTCTTTTTATTAAAATATCTAGAAGTTCGATAAAGATAATTATAATATAAACTTAGATATATAAATCGTAATATTAATTAAATTTCGAAAATAAATAGAGATATATTAATATCGAGAAGAATTATAACGTAATAAAGCGTTTTAAGAAAAATCTTAATAATCTTAATTATTATTATTATTATATTAAATATTATCTAATTATAGAGATTTTTATTCGAAGAACTTAAAAGACTTAATTAGAATATCTTTTTTTTAAATATAACTTAATAATAATAATTTAAAAGTCTATAGAACTATTAGATAATTTAATAATATATATCTCTCGAGAAATAGCTAGTAATTTATATAATTTAATTTATTTCTTTTAATATATTTTTTATATTAATATTAAGAAATTAATTAAAATATTATATATTCTTATAGTTTAAAAACTATTTCGCTAATATAAGATATTATTAATTTATCTCTTAGCGTAAAGTTTTATAACTTTAACTATTACTATATTAATAGCTTTTACTCTCTTAATAATAGATAAAATTAATATATTATTATTTATAATATAAGAGAAGATTTTAAAAACTAGTAATATAGAAATAATATTATTATATTTAACTATATCGTTAATAGTCTTAATAATTATTTATAAGCGAATCTCTTTCTAATATCTTAATTCTTTAATTTTATAATAATTATTAAATAAACTTATCTTAATAAAGTATAATATTATTTTATTAAATTAATAGAATTAGCGGTTTCAACTAATATATATTTTATTTAAATATTTAGAGTTCTAGCGTTTTACTTAAATTCGATATTATTAAAATTAATTTTAAAATTATAAATAATAATATTTAAAGATTTAATATATATATCTATTTAATATAATCTAAGTATATTTTATATATAAAAGATAGTTATATTCGTTAGTTATCGAGCGATCTAAAATAAAATTCTCTTATTAATAATTTATAAAATTAGATTATTATTAATATAGAGAATATCGATAATAATTATATAATTAAAATAAATAT